GAAAAAGAATTGGCTGGCGGCCGCCTGGCTTGCGGATGCACGAACGACGGGTGGACGGCCGAAGGCAACGCAGGTTGGTTCTCGAAGATAGTCGTTCTCGTATGTTTTGCTATCGGTGTCGGGTCAAGGAAAAGAATTACGTTACAGTATATAACATATCACTGTCTATAAAAACCGTATAGACTCCCCTTGAAATAAATGATTGAGCCTCATTAGACTTGATAAAAGAAAACAGGCAGCAGAATCCCTGTCCTTAATTAGTTAACCCGTGTTAAGCCACGCTACACTATAAAGTTACCTAGTCACACGCCGAAAGGAACGCGCAGCTCGTCGAGGTGTAGTTTAGGAGAACCCGAAGGATGCGTATGGTTAGAGAATTTCATCCGAAGTATGGGGTTTGTTGCAGCAGATTCTGTTTCAGGTTTTGGTCACGCGATGACTTTTTTCTCTGTTCCCAGTACCCGGTTATCTTTGGCCCGAGGCGTCCGGACTCCGGCTCTCGCCTTTTACTCTTTTACTTTCGTGTCCTTCCTCTCGAGAGGAGCCAAAGCAGCACTCGTTACCAGCTCACTCGTTCATTCCTTCGATTCTCATCCGGCCTGCACGCCTTGAATCGTACAAATATCATTACCCAAAATTGGATACGATATCGATTTTTGGGCTTACGGTTAAACTTTGGAATCACTCGATATTCACACTTTGCAACGGTTACCATAATTTATGTACACGTGTTACGCTGCACGTCTACAGATATATTTGGGTGTTTTTCATTCAATAAAAAATAATTAGGATCTGTCTTCCGTTTTAGTATTGTTCCAGGGATCTCGGAACAATACTCGGTATATCTTCCTTGAGGGTTAAGTCCGATATCTATGATTAAGGTTATACGGTTTCTACTCTCAATGGCTTACCCTGCTTAGCAAAGCTAAAGAGCGAAAGAACTTGTTACGCGCAATTTAACATCCACTTTGTAATTGCTCGAGTCTGGCATTGTTACGAGTGGAGCGATGTTGCAGCTTAGGAAATTACTAGAGTGACACAAATTACGTAAACAGACCAAAGAATACATCGAGCGGATGGTATACGAAACGGTTAAAGCTCAAAAAAAAAATTTTCTTTTTTTTTTTTTTTTTTTTTTTTTTTTAAAAAAAAATGTTACGCGCAATTTAACATCCACTTTGTAATTGCTCGAGTCTGGCATTGTTACGAGTGGAGCGATGTTGCAGCTTAGGAAATTACTAGAGTGACACAAATTACGTAAACAGACCAAAGAATACATCGAGCGGATGGTATACGAAACGGTTAAAGCTCAAAAAAAAAATTTTCTTTTTTTTTTTTTTTTTTTTTTTTTTGAAAAAAAAAGGCATTGATCTATCTTGTCAAAAATTCTGAGAGTATATCGTGTGGTTAAGTTAAACGTCAGTTGAAAGCTATGGCAGTCAGATCTGCCCCCGTCTATTAGTCTCGGCCGACTAGTTTTCTCAGTAAGTTAGAGACCATCAGAAGCTAATAGTTGTAGAAATATTTTTTTTTCTCAATGATAATAGTTGCCTAATGTGTAGTAGGAGTATAACAGTTAAGTAGTTATCGTTTAGAAATCTGACGCAGTTTGCGTGTAAGAAAAATAGATATATTTACACATAACAGTTATGACCTTTTGATCTTATACAGAATATCGGCGATTGTCAGATTTAAGATAGACATAGGTAAAGCAATAGTAAATCGGACCACCGGACCCGCTCGTTACTCCATATCGCAACACTTCATCACTGGCAATAAACTAGCAGAGTGTATACTGCTACTGGTCAAACGAGTCCTTGCTATATTTTACTCCGACTTTACGTACATAGATTTATGTAAGCGCGACGATACGCAATGATTCTTATTTATTCTGACGATATCGCGCACAAATATCCTTTCAGCATTACGTGGACCCATACAAACCATATAAGTCACAGGGCGCAGAGGTCACAGAGCATTTCAGGAATTACCTGTAAATCGATCGAAAATAACGCCGTTCCATGTAATTCAGTCAATACTCGTCCTTTTCTCGGGACAGTTCGACATAATGGATCGAGTCGGTGGTATATGGCTGCTTGTGACAAATGGTGGCGAGACCGGATGTATGGATGGTCTTGTCGGTGGTCCAATTTATGAATTACGGCTCAATGCCACTCTCAATCTACCTTTTGCTGTTTTCATAAATTAGATATATACCCAGCCAGAGCCTTTTCTAATATTGACCCGTAGGCATTACATACTGAAGTACATCAAATGCGTATCCGCAGGACTGATTCGACCCTAAAATCGAGTATGAATACTGGAGTATTTTGGTATTAAAAAAAATTGCTAGGATTAGCTTGGCCCCATCAAGGTATAGGAGTAAGGGTTTTTTTGAGAAAATGAAAAATGTACCCACCTGCCAAGCGATCTTTGAGATGTGGATGAGCGTGAAGTGGATGAGCCGCAAGATTGGCTAGAAAGCTAGCTCTATGAAGCCCGGCAGCAGCTGCCTGTTGTTGGCTGTGCTGAAGAGCTTGCAAGCTCCATGGCGGTATAAGAGCTTGACTGGGTAAGGTACTAGCTGGTCCGCCGTTGGTACCAGGTGGTCTGTGAGCCGGTACCCTTATCACACCACCTCCTGTGTATATGAGCCCAGAACCACCAGGAAAGAGTCTGAAGGGTGCAAGAAGATCAGCTGCGTGAACGGAAGCGCTGCTCTGTAGCTCTGGAGTACTTCCCGTGTCGTCGTCATCCTTTTCCGACATCTTCTCTTCGGCTTCCGGTCCCCAGGATCTTCTCTCATCCTCCAGCGTGGTGTTCCTGTTAGTGTCGTCCCAGTTCCACGTGGTCTTGCGCTCCTTGTCGCTGTCCAGGTCATCCGACGACGGACTCTTTGGATTCTGAACTCTGTTCTCGCCCAGCAGACGACTTATGCTGAAGGGATGACTCCTTGGCGCCTCGTTCTGCAGACTTCTTGTGTTCGTGTGACTGGGCGGCGGCGAATTCGAACATTCCGAGGGTTCCTCCTGATGATCATTTGAATTTACGTAATTCTGCGGACTGCAACTGCGCGAGTCCGAATCATCAACATTTATCTCCTCCGTGGCGTCGATGTCACTGTCGCCGTGTTCTGACATTCTTACGTCTTTCTCTCTCTCTCTCTCTCTCTCTCTATTATTAACGAGTTCCTTAATAAATACTGGACGTCCCGATTATTCGATCAGGCATCCATTAATTACGCGCACTGATTGCTCCTCACTGTTTCACGCTCGTTCCCTGACGTCTAGGAATGCATTATTCAGATAGAAAATGTCATTAAAGTGAAGAATTGATAATCTCAAAATTATAATTTAATTTAGCCAACCTCGTCCAGCAGCTGTTACGTTAAAAGGTTCGTGTCTGAACTAATCCAATTACCAAGGATGCTTTGCAAGCGATATGGGAGTGTCAATTTGAAATTGAAACTGCGCCTACCTGTCCAGGACCTTACCGCGACAGTTTGATAGCCATAAAATTCCTCTGAACACAGATCCTTCCCAGCGGGTTCCCAAAGGTTTCCCAAGATCGTCCTGCCCCCATTTTACGAAGGTTAAACAGTCACGAAAATCCGTCCACGATCGTGTCTTGTGCCACGGGACAAAAACATGGCCAACCCTATCATCCGTCGGATTATCTGGGCAGGGCTGTAACTCGTGCACCCCTAATCACCAAATCATTTCCAGGCGTCTCAATCCGAGAGGTCCCGTCGCTAATAGAAAATCCTAACCACAATTTCGTACGACGAAGACCTCGCGATCCTAACCTGTCAAAAATTGTTCCGAACAGTGACTCACGCACCAGTGTCACCAAGTCCCGCTCTAGTCTCGTATATATATATATATATATATATTTCACGGTACACAGGCTGCCACCCGAATAAAACTCGTTGAGTATAAATATTGAGATACACGGATCCAGCTCTTCGGTCGATCAATAGTCAGTTGAGCGAACGGAATCACAGCTGTCACTATGACGTCATAAGACAATAACCGATCACTGTTACTACCGTTGACGATAATGAAAAGGGTGAAAAAACAGAGTTCAGTAGTCTCTTGAACGTTCCCAAAAACACCATAGATCACTACGATCTTTCACTGTTAAAGCAATCCCATCACTGAAAGCTCTTCACTTCTAGATCAGCATCTTGGTCCCTCGCCGATAAGAATACTCGTGATCCAAGAGGTCAGCTGACGCAACAGTGAAAAGCGATACACGAAGCCGTGCCGGCGGATCGCGAAAATAATCTCGTGGCTTGGCTCTCTCTCTCTCTCTCTCTCTCTATGCGGTTCAGGCAAATATTCACAATGAGTCTGTCACACCGGCGTACGAGACCGGCCCGGCATGGTTGCTTCGTCCTGGCGGAGTGAATCGGTTTCAACGTCAGGCGTTTGGGACACGAAAAAGGGACCGACAGTTTGCCCCTACCAAGAGCTTCTCTTACTCACGGAACTGTATTTCGCTTGTCCCCGCCCACGTGACATCCCGAGCCAATGGCAAAGCGTCCCGCCACGCCTTTAAACGTTCACCATTGGCGCGCGCTAAATTGATACCTATTTAACATTTGAGCAGAATGTTGCCGGCGATCGCCTTTTTCCCCTCTATTATTTATTGCGATCGTCATTTTTTTCTACCCCGCTCGTCCAACCGTCCGCCTCGTACTATCGTGCGCGCAATGCTCAAGGAGCGGTAGAACTTAATTATGGCGAATACTCTTACTGCACATCTTCCTCGTTTATCTTCCCACCGTGTATATTCACGTACACGGATAGTCGCCCTTACGGCAAGTCCTGCCATTCTCATTTTCTGATCTTGCTCTTGATCTTCATTCCCATGTGCCACTACGTTACGCTATGTATGCTCTTATCGTTATAACCTATCACCTACATCTCTCAAGTATTCCTACTTAATGGATCTTAAAGGCGTATCGATGGGTTATGGATGCATTTATTTAAATTAAATTTTCATTATTTATCGTACCGCATGAAATATTCACCGTGCAGATATTTACCTGGGAAACTGCTCTCCTTCTCTTTGTATTATAAAGTGCCCAAGAGTATAACCAGTATAAGGCATATACCCACCGTATGGTTAAGGTGGTTTTTATTACGCGAATACTCCCCGTACTCATGTTCAACTTTTTTATTTCTCGTTTTTGCCAGTATTGCCAACCCAACCTCGCGCACGAGATTCTCTGTCCAGGGTGTTGATAGCCGTGGAAAAGTTGTTTTTCAACCAATCCCACCTGACTCGTCTTTACGTTTTCAAAATATAATTATTTTCCCGCCTCGGGATAGCTCGCGTATCCAATTATCAAATAAACGAATTAATGCCGATGAAACTAAGCTGATTAATGAAAATAATATTTCTCAAATAGAACGTCCTTTCAATTATCTATGTCTGATCCAAATATGACACTGGCTTTATTACCAGGTCAAAGTTCAATTTGATTGGCTCATACTGACGTATCCATATCCACACGGCGCACCTATATGCATGCAAAGTACAATGGATGGCATGAATTAGGGATGAAATTACACGTAAGAGGGACACCCAAACAAGCATCCGCGATTGAATTGATCCGCGCATCCCGGAGGAGATTAATGCGATTTCGCGAATCTTCGAAATTATGCAAGAAACTTGTCTCACCTCCGCGTTCGACGCTACCGCCATTTTCCCTCCTCGTTCCCAGCTGAGGCTGCAACCTCTTCACGCTGCCGGATCGAGGATCAATTTAAGTGTCAGGCATCCCCGCGTCACTTAGTCGTTTTCACCGACGTTCAAATAATTCATGCGACCCTTTAGAGAGATAGCCGGCAAGTGAGTTCAGGACCCGAGAGACGAAAGGAGTGAAGCGACCAATCGGACCAGCCAGAATTTCAGTCAACGTACCAGAACCAGCCGTGCGTAGAAAACCCGGAGCCATCCAGCCTCGATCCTGGCGGGTGTTGAAGAGGGTGGCGCTGCCCGTAGGTGGCAGGGCTTCGCGAGCGGGGTTGACCGCTCTCAAAAGATGTGGCGACAGAGGGAGTACGTTCCCTCGAAAAATCATCCCTTATTCAGGACCCTCTGACTTTTATAAGGCCCCCGCGAGGAAGGGCTGATTTGCTGAAAATCCGGACGGCTGCTTCTTTTTTTTCCTTCAACGAGCACCACTCCGGACGTCTCCGTTTTCTTTTTTTTTTTTTTTTTTTCAATGTTGCCATCCCTTATGTCGGTCTGGAAACAGTGGTTTAAAAAAGGAATAAATATGCTCAGACCTCTTCAGAGATCCGTATAGATATACGTGCAGGGTAATGAAATAAGGGATGCTTCATTTTACGTTTATGCATTCCTCGTATAAATATACGAACACACAGGTCCACGTGTTCAACGTAACTATTTGACAGTTGGCATGCGATTTCTGGCTAATCGCAAGAATTGCATATAAAAATTATTTCTTATAAATAATATTACCCGATAAAATTATAGTACTCGAGTCAAGAGTTGACGTAAGAAAATTGTTACTCTATTATAAAAAAAAAAAAAAAAAAAAAAAAAAAAAAAAAAAAAAAAAAAAAAAAAAAAAAAAAAAGAAAAAACAATTTACCTAAGACCTAGAAAACATATGATTCACCGCAAAGTCATTCGCAATCCACCGCAGTATCTCGGAATATTTCTCAATCATACTAATCGCTAGTTGCTCGTGACGTCACGACTTAAACGTCGCGTCATGAGAACTCGGACGACGATGATAATAATAATTGATATCAAACCGAGTGCACATGTGAATTCTATGAAGTAAACAGGAACCGGCGCGAGGCAGAACCAGCGAACGTTACATTACCACGAGGGTTCAATAAACATATCGTATATTCAGCGGGACAATTACCAGGGGCGTAATCGTCAAACTATATCCAGCAGATCCCCCATAAACCGTGCAATGCGAAACAGAGATGTCAACTTAATCCTGCGTATGTATCCATGCGAACCCTGACTGCACGACACCTAACCAGTCCCCGCGTCTAATATTATAATTCTCGTATGTTGGTCCCCGGAGATTGCCGAAGCGTGCGACCGAGGGCCCCCCTCGTGGCCCATACTTTGCAATCGGTCTTCTTGTTCCTTCGTTGGGCATCCACGCACTCGATACGCGCCGCAGCCACTTGTCGAGGGATCGTGCGATTGGCTTGTTGTGAAATTCTATCGTCATTCATATACGGGGTGAGTCGATTGCTATTCAGCATGGGGCTGCAAGTGGCTGAATGAGGGTAAGAGGCACCCCTTCGCCGTGGCGGCAGGTTGCCACGGGTCTCGGTTACATCCAATGTTTGTTTCTGGTTAAACGATCGATACGTGTTCTACTATGTATACAAAACGACTAAGACTGTATATATGTAAAGTAAAAAATAATTTTTCTAATTTTTATAAAATTTTAAAAACGGGCCAGTCACTTTATACGCATAAATTTGTACGATATCAGAAAGTCCAGCGTGAAGTCGAGCGTCGATTGGATAATAAAAGCTCCGTGCGAATTGTATACACATACACGTAGTAGTTACGCAGCTGCAAAGAGAATCGATCAGGTAAAACGCAACTTCGATGATTCCTTCTCGGTAAGTACGGCCGTATTAATTTAACGACTCGGAACATTTCTTACGAGCGCGACATTTAAGGCGCGTCCGCAGGAGGCGGGATTAACCTGAATTTCCTCGAGTAATTTGTGGAAGCGACCGAGGCACCAGGGCCGTACACGACAAAATGTTCCTACGAGATACGGCGCGCGGCACCTTGCTTAGATTTAGTGGAGAGATAAAAGGGTAGTTAGTGGCACCGCAATGGCCGCTGTTATGGATATTGCTAAGGTTGCTTGCCCGGTTATACATTGTTACTCGAATTCCTTTTTTTTTTTTTGTGGCCTAGTCGTTATATCCTTTCCAAGTTCTTTCTCTTGGAATTATTAGATTCCGTGATCCAGATGGAGTCTATACGCTCGGCATGAAAACTACCGAACAATCGTAAAGCGTGCGGCACGCTCGGTGAAATTATTTTCGAGCCAACGATGCTTTACAAGTATAAATAGGAAGCACGAGAAATATTTGCCAGCCGCTTACTATGGCCATTATGGTTTTTCATGGTTAATGGATATTTTTAATATCTTACTGGTAATCCACTCCTGACCACCGCACGGAAACTTGCTATCCGTAGAAACTATTCGAAACACCATCCAACCGCATTCACCTGTCCACCAGACTGTTCTATAGCCATAATATAATAGGACGATATATTTCATCGCTGTGGGATTCTAATCCCGTATTGAATCCGCAGGTATTTACCGATATGAACGGTGGAAAGTAATTTTCCAAAATTTTCGAGGGGAGGCCGGATGTAGGCAGCGGTTTCCTTAATGACAGGGGATGCTCGCTCAGCTAGAAAGTAATTTCTCCCTATGCGACCTTGGTCGAAGAAGAGGCGACAGTCGTTAGTCAAAACCACAAGTACGTGTATATATATATACATAATATACACACGTGTTAAATAATGTACGTGTTACATTTCCGGCTAAGAAAGTAAAAAAAGACCTATAAGATAACTCGAGAGCCGAATCGCCATAGATTTTGATCTCATGAGAGAAGGGAATCCAGAAAGAAGAAATCCACCATTGAATTCCCATGGGGTATTGAGAATCTGTTCGCGAAGAAACTTTAAACTCAAACGCTCGATTGCCCTGAGAGGCTCTAAGGTCATGGGAGTTTGTGGGGGGTGACCGATCTCTTGTAATATTCAGTGACAGAAAAGTTTAACAGCAAAACGATAGTCCCCATACATCTTGCAGCCACCTGGACCCACCATAAGAACGGAGACGAGAGAAATCGGTATGTGGCTATCCAGAGTGTACAGAAGTACCGGAAGTGGAGGTGGGACCATGCCGCAACGGAAGTATACCTACAGTGGCCAGGGTGAAACATTTATTTAGTGCCAGGGGATTTTCGGAATGGCGCTCGGCGACGTAGGTAGGGATGGTAACTTGGGGTACGATAACTTGGTTAGCCAGCCGACTTCCGATCTGTATTCTGCCTACGGACAACTTTATTACACACTGACTCCACCCGTATTATTGTCCAGGAGCACTGTTTTCTGGGATTTATTACGATTTCCACTACGGTATACCTCTACCGTACAAATATCTGCGCTATCTCTGATAAAAGATGTTATCCACGGATAAAATGTCTGGTAATGGAAAATTAATTTACAGGCTGAAAAACACTGTGCAATCGGTCCAGTATATAGGGCCGATTTTGCTTACTTAGCCCGAGCCACTAGTTGTAAGACCCAGTACCTCGGTTTGAATAGGTATATTTAAGATGTTAAAG